TGCTGGGAAGGCCCAAAGGTCAGCAGTAGAAGCTAGAAAGTCCATGCCAGCAGGTTGAAGGAGCTGTGCTGGTAGGTTGAGGGTTCTACACTGCAGTCGAGAAGTCACCTTCACAACAAAAACCAGGGCTGTCCCGAAAAGCACCTCAGTGTCACGGAGGCCCCAAGCTTCTCTGATGACAAGCACAGTCCAGTACAGGTCAGGAAGCCAGCATGACGAGTTCATCCTGGAGACCAAGGTGCACATGTCTTCCACTCTAGAGCCCGGAAGAAATGCTGAATGTAAGGACCAGAGCTTCTCTAGGAGAACCAATGGCTCAAACAACAACATGTAGGAAATCTCACAATGCCTCAATGCCTCAATGCCTCTTGTGCCTCCTTCTCCATGTCTCCATTTATGCTGGCAACTTTCCTCAGGTGGAACATCTCTGCTCAGTGCCCTGATAATTTAATTCAGCTGGCATTAAGTTGACCACCAGTTTTTAATCCATAACAGAGCTCAAATGAGACAATAGCTCAGATAATATGAAGTTGGGGATCAAGTCAGAGTCCTACTCCTTACGGGCAAGGAAGACCGCAAAACATGAGGCACACTAGCATCACACACACAATATACAAGAGAAAAAGCCTGTACCTAACTAAACCTTTCCCTGAATTTAGATAGCTGCTGGTGATAGCAGAGGGGGGAAATGCCTTATGAGCCTAAATCAAGTAATGTAGTGGTTAACTGATTGTGTCAACTTAAGACATTTAGAAGCTTAACTAAAAGGGCTTAGTAACTCTACACCCAAGGGTGTAGAAGACCCACCCTAGGGTAGCTCATCAGCTGGATAGTATAAAAGAGAAGGAGGAAAGACAAATACATTCCATTCTTTGGAGAAATTCCAGTCTTCACCTTTGGTTTGGCCATCATTTCCTTGCTTCCATTGTAGCTTCTTCAGCTTTCCATCGTAGAGCTTTGGGCCTTCTGTCGCAGATGGATCAGCCTGCTGGTGTGGACTTGCATGAGACACTAGGTGAATTCCAGGCTTTGGATTGAATCCTGCTGCCTCCAGCATGTAGACACCCTCCGCATGCTTCCTAATCTGACTCTGTGACTGACTATTGTTAAGCCAATCTTGTCATTTTTTATACATTTTTATATCTTGTGTTATATCTGTTTTCTCTAGTAAAAACACTGACTAATACAGGTAAAGTCTGAAGTTTGAATTGGCAACTTGAATGTGAATTCAATGTTTACCTGAAAGACAGTAAATCTGAAATCAAATTAGTTAACATCAAATTAATTTTTGTTTTGCTGCCAGTAGAAATAAGCACGTATAAAAAGATGGATTTAGTCAAGGAATGATAAGGAACATTAAAATTTGGCCCATCAGTCATGAAAAACAAAAATGGGAGTCATGTGGGACTATTGTGAATTAATGAAGTTGGACACATGGATACAAGTGTCCTCCAAAACAATGTGTGGGAGGACTTTGGCACCTTCCCAGGGTGTGCTGTGTAAGTACAAAGCAAGGTCATCCAAATTTTGAAGAACAGGATGGCCTTGAGTCACTATAAAACGAGTATATAACAACCTGTCAGGAACATCAGCTGTGCTGTCTCTTCAGGGTCTGAATGTCTAGCAGTAATGGTCACATCACCATCACTGTTCTACAAGCTTCTCAAGTCTGTCTTCAAAATTAACCTTTACTCCCTCCTTGTTGCACCCTAACATGGAAATTCATTTCTATGATCCTTTCTATTATCCCGGAGGATGCCCTTATTCTTTCTTTGTTGGACAACCAGCTTAGTTCCTGCATCTTCTCCTGTCTCTGTTGTTATTAACCACTGTCTATCTTAAAACTAAAATTTGACTATTTCATTATGAAAAATTCATACAGAAAGTCCTCAAAACTTGTTGGACAATATTCTCTAGTGGGTCTTGTAATAGAGTAAAGAAGATACTTGGTTTCTATTCTTGGTTCTTGACACAATGTTAAACTCTTGGAAGATCCTGCATGATAAAAGGTGACAAAAGCAAGGTGGGAACCAATGCAGAATAACAGCAACCATGCCAACCCACCAACTCCAAACCAGTTCCGTATTTTGCTTCCCGTATGTGTATACCTATGTTAACAGCAGCACAATTCATAATAACTAAATCTTGGAAGCAGCCTATATGCCCAATAACAGATGACTGAATAAAGAAAACACAGTGTTTATATACTTATTGTATATACACATATACAATATACAATATATACAATATACAAACACAGTGTTAATATACAATAAAGAAGGGCTAGCTGAAGTCATTTGTAGGGAAATGGAAGCACCTTGAGACTATAATGTTAAGTGAAATAAACCAGACACACAAGCTTAAATATCACATGGTTTTAAAAACCTAAAATATGTAAAGAGCAAAATAAAGGAAAAACAGTAAGAACTAAGGAGATAGCTTTTTTGGTTTTTTTCCAAATAGGAAGGAGATGAGGAGATGGGGCGGGGAGAGAAGGGGCTACAAAAAGCATTAAGATGTATCCTGTTAATGTACCAACACACCATAAGAAATGTAATCATTATATATTGTAAACATGTATTAATAAAAATAAAAATGCGGTTTGGGGGAAGGTGACAAGAGCAACTTGATGAAACCATTGTTTGTGGGTCCTTATGAAGAGAGGGTTGGGTGTGCACAGCTTTTTGAACCTTAGGGATTTACAATGACATTTTGTAGCCTGTGTAATAACACTGATGGAAACACTAGAAGCGGACACACCCAATATATTACCAAAAGTGGTGGAGATTTTTTTTCAGAACCAGGAATCAAACTCAGGATTTTGTGCATGTCAAGCAAATGAGCTATATATATCCTGACCCCTGAAAGAGGTTTTAAGAAAGGCCTTGATTGCATGCCTTTGATTTCTGCATGTGGATGTGCATCAACCATGAAGGACCTTAGCCTCTTCCAGGGGCTGAGACCTCTGATCTCATTCTAGATGAGAATGTTTGGTTGGGTTTCTGCCAGCGCCCTTCAAGGGATCCCACTGAAACACGTAAGAATTATATTTTACAGGACTAGTTTTAAGGATCACAAAATAGATGATGATTTGTAGAACAGCCAGACTGAGCCTAGCATACAGCTTTCAGCACATGAATAGGTTCACTCCTTGTTCTTGAGAAGAAACATTTTTAATGAGGGATTTTGTCCCGTGTAAGGAGACAGGTGCTGTGCTGGGCCATGAGATGAAATGGTATTGGGTTCACAGTTCTGTCTTCAGAGGCACACGTAGGGGAGCCCAAGGGGCCAGTAGCACACGTTACCTCCACATCTACTTCCATTTTTGGCCCCAACCAATTCTGATCTTGGGCAGCCCACAACCCTTCGTTGATAGGGAAACCCAGAGACACCTAAAAGTTTTGGAGGGCTACTCTAAAACAGTCTGGGATAACAGCTACCAACCAGATGATGCTGGACAAACCAGGTCCAGTGGCTCCTGGACTCATCAGGTTTGTGGTGGCCAGGGCTGCTGGTGATGGTGCTCTTTTATGCTTGAGTCCAAACCTGCTCCTTCATTTTCCTTCTGGCCTTTGCACAGGAAACTTGCATTTCTGCTAGCAGCATGCAAACTCTCATCTCAGAAATCTGCCTCTACTGCTTGAAAGACTCTTTCTCTTTTTAATCCATTATCCCAGACTGTAGCAAGAGCAATTACCTGTTTTGTTTTTACCATTAGGCTGCTGTGGTGGTGAAAAGCAGACATTAAACCTAGAGGGCCAAGGAACTCAGCATTGCCCTCCTACCTACAAATATACCTAAGCCAGCATTACCAGGGATGAGTCCACACCTTGGACAACAGGGGAGCCCTCACACCCACAAAGCCTACAATCACCAAGCTTAGAGATGCTCAGTTCTCAACAGCCAACTGTTTTTGTGGTCTGCCTGTTTAAACTTCATATGAAAAAAACAAACAAACAAAAAAAACCCTTAAGTTCATGAAGGTTCAGAAAGCTTCCAAGGTTATCTAGGGAAGCACAGAAGCTAGTGTTGATACCCAGATCTAGTGGACCTCAATTAACTTTACCTCTGCTTGGGTACAATTTCTAAGTATGTGTGGATGAGGTACGCAAGACAATGTTAGGCAAATTTTGTTAAAAGATGTATATTCACTTTAACTTGAACAAAGATACAATTTACGAGACCTGCCATTTTGAAGCTATTACTGCTTAAAATGTAAACTGTATGTTTAAAAATAATCAACAGTGAAAATATTAAAGCAGTAAGTGAACATAACCCTCCTGAACAGGGGTAAGTGTGGAGTACTGTCTTCATTGTGGTTTCCATTACTCACATTGTGACCCAGCCACAATGCAGTACCAGGGTACCCCTGTACCCATCACTTGCACAGCTGTCTTCTGCTTCCTCTGAGGTCTACCTTTAGTCCAATAAGATTTGTTCTAAATCCAGAAGTCATGATGCAGTAACTATATAGCTCAGTTTGAGGTAGACTGAAACAAAAAGAATGCCAGACCACCACCTATTATAATACTGCAATTATGTTTGAACTAACTGGGGCTACAGATTTGGGCTCTGCCAACTCTACTGCATTTATTGAGTACCTGAAGTCTTCCAATCACGGCACTACTCTGAGATGGAATTGTGAAACAGTGAATATTGGCATTATTCAGTTTTTAAAAGAATGTAATGTTCCTGATTGCCAAACACTCCCATTTGCTCTGGATTTTGTCTTTCAAGTCTTCTAAAAACAGGTACTTCATAAACAGTAGCAAATGCATGAATCTTTTTTCTAAGGAATACAAAATTAACTGAAAATACACGTCTGTTCTTTTCACACTGAAGTACATACAAGGAGCACCTGATTAACCATGGATCTTCCTAATCTTATTAAATATCTAGAAGGGAGTAAAGATCTTTGTATTACAATGAATTATGAAATTAAAATGCACTTTATATGACCATTTATGATGAAACATAGATCAAAGAGTTTAAGTTATAACTGATTTTGAAAAAATTTTATTAGTAAAAAATACAAAGTAATCAAATGTAGATTTTTCCATTATTGAGTTTCAGCCTCATCTCCAGAAAGCCAGTTAGCCTCAGGACTTATCTGTGCAAAATCCCATTTCCTCAAGTCTACGAGGAATATGAAAATGTGCAGACAAATGTGCTAATGACATGAAATTCTTCCCAAGAAAGTAGATTCCTACAGATCTTCTGGAAGAGTCATCCTAGAACCCAAGTTGTAGTTCAAAATGCAGAATTCTGAACTAATGGCTCATTAGAAAAAAATATCAGCCACGGGCTCTAAAATCCTCAAACCAAATCACAATGTTGCTACGAAGGGCTGGACAGCATTACTATATCCATGGTCTCCTGCACCCTTTCTTCTGCTCCAATTTTCTACAGATTCTGTTACTTTAGCTTGATAAAATATTCCAAGTGTCCTGCTTCCTGCCATCTTATCAACTTTGAAGGTATTTTAATGCTCCAGTAAATTACACCAATATCCACATAGTTTTTCTCCTATCAACAAAGCCAGAACCTATTTATTAGCAATGTGCTATAGGCTGGAGCAAAGAAATAAATAATTCTACTCCCATTTCCTACTATAATTAGCTTACAATATCTTAAACGTGCTAGCATACCACATTCTGCCTACCACTTGTTGGTCAATACACAATTTTTAAGTTGGATTAACCCTTTTAAGTAATTATTGTACTTCAGCAAAACTAATTACATCTTTCACTTCCTATGTAAAGGGTTTCCTAATGTAATATCACTTAAGAGTCACACACAAGATCTGCTTAGCTTACAGTAATTAACACTCAAGGTGCATTACTCTGTTCTAAGCCTTTATTATTTAAAGGCTTAACTAACTCATGAACCCCCTTGGAGGTGAGCAGGCATCACTCCTATGTTACAGATGGTGACTTAGGTAACTTGCCCATGGTCATACAGCCACCTGTGGTCTTCTACAGTGCCTCTTTCTTCTTCTAGATGTTAGTCCACTGGCCATGTGCTGGTTCCACAAATTATGTGTATGCTTATATTCTTGGCATTACACAGAATGCATTATATAAAAACAATGACATACTTTGTAAGCTTTGAAATGACACATCAAATAGCTTATTAAAGATAAAAACCACTGACATTTCTGCAAAGAATCAAAATGATAAATAATAAAATTTAATCCTCATCTCTTCTATCTGCAATCATCTGGGAAAGCAAATTTACCTTTCTGGAACTTTATTTTACAACTCTGAAGGAAGTCTCCCTACAGTAAGATGGAATTAAAGTGAGATGTAAACACTTTCCCTGGAACCATTTTAATCTTTTCCTTTTGGGGGTCACTTTTCTTCTCTCAGAGATGGCCAATCTAAACTGCCCAAATAGTACTGGTAAGAAATGCCACATTTATAGCTTTAAGGTCCTTCAGTTTTCTGCAACTACAGAGAATATTCAAGCACAATCTTTGCTGAGCTCTTCTAAGAGTTTCAGCATTGAAAATGCAAATTTATCACTAACATATTTCAAGTTGGAAACTGAAATTCAAAGTCATAAAAAATTCAATTCAATAAAATTTATTGAGTGCCTATATGTGTATAGACTTTTATTAGACACTGAAATTCAGGCACAAAACAGACAGACCCCCCGCCTGAGGTCTTATAATCTAATTAGTATAATACAGATTAAAAACAGTAGACAGACAAGTTCCATGTTAATGCTCAGTTACCAACCAGTCAACATTAAAGACCTGTGATTAGGTAATCTAAAATGGCATCTAATCCTAAAATCATTTATAAAATGAATTTGGCCTTAGAATCCACAGCACTTCAAACAAGGTAAATTCCACTGCAAAAAAAGTCACAAAGATAAAAACATACTGAAACACTCAGGGGCACAATCAATGACTTTTGTTACTCTGGATCTTTTGTTTTCTTCTTATTATGGTCCGAAGCCTCCGTAATACCAATTTATCAGACAGAAGCATGTCATCTTGTTGTTCTAGGTAACTCAGTAAATTTTCAGTCCATTCAAGTGCAGCTTTATGGCTAATATGCTTCTCAGGATTCAACTCTGCTTTTTTAGTTTTACTTGAAGGCTTTCGTTCAACAGCCTTGGGATGGTCCTCAGCACCTTCACTGTCTGTCAGCACCTGACAGCTGGAGTTGTTACTCTGGGAGTCAAACCACTGATCAATATTCTTAATGTCAACGTGTTCACAGTCTTCTGTATTCTGTAAAACTGTCGCTAAGTTAGCTGCTAAAATGGCTCCTTCATCAATGTTCATGACTGAATTTTCTTCATTGCCAGGGAAAAGCTTTCGCCATGCTTTGGTTATGGTACTTGCTTTTATCATGTTCCAAGCCCTAGATACCTCATAAATTGCATCCAACACTGTCAAGTTCTTCCAAAACATTTTTGGCTCAGTTCCTTCATCCATATATTTCTGGAGAAGTCCTGCTCGGTAGTATCTTTTTACTGTGGTTAAAACTCCCTGGCTCATTGGTTGAATCAGACTTGTAACATTTGCTGGCAAATATTTCACAATTATTCTGCCATCATCTGAACTCAATAGTTCTTCATTTGGATGTGCTGGGGGGAAATCTAAAAGAAGAACTGCTTTTTCTAGAAGACCTTTGGATCTCAAATGCTTCTGTACTTGTGGCACAAAATACTTATCAAACCACTGTCTAAAAACAGACTGCTCTATCCATGCACCTTTTTGACTGAAGTAAGTGACAGGAAGGTTTGAAAGGTCAGTTCCTTTGAACGCACGGGGTTTCTTTGCTTTCCCCACAACACAAAGATTAAGTTTGTGTAAACCTGTGGCATTTGCACAACACATTATAATGATTCTTTCTCTGCTTGACCTATACTCAGCAGTATTTCGCTCAGTGTCAAGAACTAATGTCCTTGATGGTAGACATTTCCAGAACAACCCAGTTTGGTCAGCACCATAAATTTGCTCTGGTTGTAGATTCTCTCTCTCTACAAATTCCTGAAAGTTACCACAAAATTCACTGGCAGCAGTTTCATCTCCTTTTAATTTTGTTCCTTTACCAGCAGCCTTTGGGATACCATGGCGCTGTTTGAATCGAGTTAGCCAGCCAGATGATGCATTAAAATCACCTTCCATCCCCAAAGCATCAAAAAAGAACTTCGCTTGTTTTGCACAAATAGTTCCAGAAACTGGAATCCCATCTGTCTTCTGTTGGTTAAACCACTCTATCATCACTCTATCAAGTTCCTCATAGGTTGATGACTTCATAGATTTACGTTTGGATACACCACTTGTGGGATCTGAGCTGTTTGCATAATTTATAATCCTTTCTTTGTTCTTTTTAATATCACGAACTGTTGACTCCCCAATTCCATATACCACAGAAAGTTTTTTGAAAGAGATACCTTCCTCAAGTTTCTTAATAATGTCAAGTTTATCTTTAATTGTCAATACCACACGCTTACGTTTCCCCAACATTTTAAGTGTCTAATATTTTTAATTAACAACTTAAGATTTGAAAAGAAGCTAGAAATTGGACTTTAAGATTGTTCCTGTGTCCTACTTAGTATGATGGCTGATTCACAGATAAAAGTCTAAAAGAGTCGCTTCACTTGGATTTTAAAACTCACATACTTCCTATAAAAAGGAACAGCATCAATTAACCCCATCTTTATTTTCTTCCTCCTCATATACAGTGTTTTTAAAACTTGAAATGTTATCAAAGTCTAGAAACTGAACTACTACTACACTGCTAAGATCTCTAAAATTATCCTACTGCATACTGCAGGTAAGGTTCTTTGCTAAAACCAGGAAGACTCAGGTTGAGTATTTGGAGACATGAGCAGAAAAAACAGAGTTTAAATTAAGAAAAGTCTTGCAAAGTTGACATATAGGAAAATATGAGAAAAGTTAATTCCTTATGTTATTTTTGTCAGGAAGTGAACTGAGGAATGCTGTCTCTTCTAAGCAAAGGACTAATGTAAGTTGCACAGGAAAGTGTTTAGGAAAATCCTAACAAGCAAGTTAAGATGTGCTGAACAAAAGTGAAAAGTGCAAAAGAAGTGAAAGTGGACAGGCAGGAAACTGTACTTGAACGCAACACAAACTTATACCTAATGGATTTGGCCACTGGAAAGGAGACCGGTGGGCAATAGGTGATGTCACATGATTAAAGAAAGCACCAAAAAACTTCATTGGTGGAAATCAGAATCCAAGGTAGAGACTATGGGTGAAGGCGGCACGGTGAAGATGTTACAATAATCCTGGAGAAAGTTGATCTTCCAGGGTCCAACGGAAGTAGTTTCTGTGGGGCTGTATAGGTACTTGGAGCCTCTGAAACCTAAAAAAATACCAAAAACATTTTATTTTCAGTATTAGTGTCGGAGGCATTATCCACATCTACCCTGCAACTATGGTGAGAAAACGAGCGCCTCCAACCAATTGTGATGGCTAAACACGATAAATAATGCTTCTAAGCATTATTTGGGGACCGAAGGGGACCTGGGTCGCCTACCTCCTCAAATTAAGAGGTCACAGAGAAGCCGTGTGAGCGAGGGCCTGCCCGCCAGGCGAGCTTGCGGAGCGCGGGCTGCTCTCCTTCGGCGACGGACCCGGGTTCCGTCCGGACGCCAGCGACCAGGGTGTCACCGGACGGCCAGCGAGCGGCTGGGTGAAGAGGACGCGGGTCCGCCGGCCGCGGGCATCGCTTCCCGCCTGGCAGCTCAGCGGCCGGACCGCACGGAGAGCAAATGGAGGCTCCCTGGGGACGCCGACACCGGAGGCACAGCGGCAACAGCGGCAGCAACAGCAGCAACAGCAGCGACGGGAGCGCGTCGCGCCGGAGCCGGAAGGCGGGGGATTAGCGAGCACGCGCGCGGCCCGCAGGCGCATTGGGCCAGCGAAGGGGCGGGGCTGCGCGCGGCGGAGGCGGGGCTACGCGAGCAGTGGGCGGGGAGCGCGAGGCGCGTGGGCGGGGTTGCAGGCTCTGCTGCGTCGGGATGAGGGACGCTTCCATGGCAGGCAGCGGGCGCTACAGGCTCGTCGTGTGTCTGCGTTTTCCAGGAGGCCGGGTCTGCGGGTTTGGAGTCCTCCTCTCCCGGAGGGAATAAAGCTCACGCTGCGGCGGCCAGTGACGAGGAAAGGCAGCGCACGTGGAGCGTGTTTACAAACACCGCGGCTATAGCTAAGCGGGAGAAGGGCGTGCTGGCCGGCTCTCCGGAGACCGAGCCTTCCGGAGCTCGCAAACCAGGACCGGGCGGCCTCGCACAGCGCAGTTCAGCCCACTGCGCCTCACCCGCGCCGGAGTCTGCGCGTCACGGGGACACCTGTTGTGCCGGTTCAGGGAGGAAACGCTCACTCTGGTTTTCTTTTTCGCGCTCTTTTTTCCTCCTCCTCTTCCACATTCTTCGCCTCTCTCTTTTGAAAGTTGGAATAGTCTTTTTTGTTGTGTTTTCAAACTTGCGGACGCAAGCACAGACAGCATCTAACCGCTTGAGCCCCCAGAAACGGAGCGTCTCCTCAGGTCTCTGACGAGGCAGAGGCAGCTTTGTTGTGGGCGTCCTGGAGTTGTCACACTGAAACCGACCCCAGCATTCACACAGCTGAAGAAAGATGTGGAGTGCAGACCTTTGCTCTGACCCTCACTTCTTCAGATTGCACAGATGTCTTCCCTGGCCCCGCAGCCCTCCACTCTCTGGCCTTGCTAGAAAGTCTGATTTCCTTACTCTGAAATTGTAAGTGCCTTTTCATGAACATTTTTTCCCCCAAAGGAAAATCCCTTCCCCTAACGCCTGCCCCTTTGTGGCTTTCAAGCGACCCAGTCCCTTCCTCGCAGTTTTGGTTGAGTCTTCTGGGTGGCAATACAATTGCAGGATAGTTTTATGTAACTTTTTAATGTTTTCTCTAATTTTGCAAGGCGCGTGGAACACTTGCATCTGATCATTTCTCCTAAGAGGAGACTCCTGATTCTAACAAGCCGCCAGCCCTGTGGGAAGAAGGTGGCCTGCAGCCAAGGTGCAGCTGCTTTCCCTTCACCCTCCTGGGATCACGCTGTCTCCTGGTGTGTAAATAATAATACTGCCTCTTCTTTCCCTCTGTCCCACGTGTGCTCTTGGCATGTACCCGTGTTTTCCTCAATTTACGTCTTGTAGCTGTTCCCTTTTGGTCACCGTGTGCAGATTTCCACATCTCTTCATTTTTCTCAAAACACAACTTTACTCAGGGCAGTTTGTAGTTAAGTAGGCTTTTAGTAAGACTTTAAGGCAGCTGACCTTTTTACAAAGCATTGTTTCCTCTGGGAAACTTTCTCCTTTGCTAAAGGGAGGGGTTGGTAATTGTGATTTTAGAGTAGGAGAGATGGAGTGAGGGGGACAAAATAGAATGTTAAGACTATTGTGGAGCCATTCTGATGGACGCAGGGAGGGTAGTTACGTTTCATCACTCATTTGTCCAAATGCACAGCCTTTAAGGTAAACATTGGAAGGTGGCTGGTGGTGACATCGGTGTAACTTTTATCTATTACCACAACTTCCCTCGGCTCTAGCTGGGATGCTGATGAGGGAGGGGAAATCGCTACATCTCCCCACTCAATTTTGCTGTGAACTTAAAGCAACTGTGGGAAAAAGTCTCTTTCGGCTAAGCAAGATGATGTGCACCTGTAGTTCTAGTTACTCAAGAGGCTGAAGCAAGAAAATTGCTTGATGGCAGCCTAAGCAACATAGACTATCTACAACAAAGATAGTTACAAAAAATTAGAATGCTGTCCATCCTATTATTTGTATTATTAAGGTCCTCGTTGGCCACAGGAGATTTTTTTTATCGTTAATTTATCTCTGTGACTCACAACCTCCCTCTTACTACCTCAGCATTTAAGAAAAATATCTCGGTCCTCCCTCTCTCCTTCCCTTACAGATGCTTGTGAAAACTTAAGGATTCCTTTGACTTTATTATTGGAGCAATTTTGTACTTTTTTTTCTTAATTGCCCTTACCTTTCATTAGGGTCTATTCTCTAACTGAAAGCCAACATTTCACTTCTTGGAGAATTCTGCCACTAGTATTCCTTTCCTTCTACATACACACAGTCTGATCCCCATCCCCACCCCCACCCGTGCTGGGAATTGAATCCAGGACCTTGCTGGGCATTTGGTACCCCACAAAGCTATAGTGCCGGCTGTCTCTCAGTCCTTTTACCAGCATTGTGACATGTTACTTCTGTTTGCTGCATGAAAAAGGCTTAAAATTATATGAATATTAAATATATGTAGCAGAACAGAGTCAAACCTAGGGCATTATACCTTCACCACCATCCTCTACCTACACTATCACAATAAAGTTGTTTCACTCAAAGATCCTAAAAGAAAAAGCAAAGTTGTCATTTATTAAATAGAATATTTAGCACTAACCTGCCAAAAAGGCATTGTAGTCACAAGAGCACTGTAGTCTGTAGTGGTGTTCACCAGATAGCATTTCGTTTGTTAAAAAGTGGGTTTCTTGAAAAGTACTCCAAATCACCTGAGTGTAGCTATGTTTCTCCTTATAAGTTCTGCATTTTCTTTTCTGTTGAGATAATATCAGTGACCTTATGGATTCATTATTAAGTGTTATTCTTCATGCCTGGCAGTTTTGTGGTATCTCTAGAAAGAGTAAATTCTTGAAGCTAAGGAAATGTATTTCTGGTTTTTTATTTCTATTTTTTTTAATTTAAAAATTTTCAGAGTCGGAGAGTAACAATAATACATTTCATATAATTATCTTCAGAGTCATTACTCAGGGAACAAGATATAACCATAATGTATTAACTTTTACCTGGCTTCCTTTCCCCTTTGCCTCATCACTTTCTCTTTTCTTTTGTTCAGTTTCTTCCCCGCTGACAAAATCTACTGTACATTTCAGTTCCTATTTACTCATTCACCTTAAAGTAGTGTGACTATATGATGTTTACACATATGGGTCTGATATATTTCACTTATGAATATGGTCTCAAGATGCATCCATTTACCTAAGAAAGTATGGCTGAATGATACTCCATTATATTAAAAAGCCACATCTTTTTTTTGTTTTATCCATTCCTTAGTTAATGGGCATGTGGGGGTGTTTGCAGGATTTAGCTATTACAATTTGTGTCACTATAGACATAGGTGCACATATATCACTATGGTATGATATTTTTAATTGTTCTGGAAAGATACCACCCAGAGGGGGAATAGCTGGGTTGAATAGGATCTGTAATCCTAATTTATTGAGGAATCTTCACACTAATTTCCACAATGGTTGCACCAGTCTACACTGTCACAACAGTGGAGAAGATTCCTTTTACCCACAGCACCATGAGCATTTGTTATTGGTTGATTTATTGATAGTAGTCATCCTCTCTAGAGTGAGATAGAATATCAATGTTTTAATTTGCATCTTTTAGATGACTATTCATGTTGAACATTATTTCATATATTAATTTGCCATTTTTATTCATCTAAAATGCACATTTTTGGATTGAGTCTTTGAATTTGGGGGGCCTGACTTTTTAAAAATTCTTTATGTTTTGGATATAAGTCCTTTGTCTGATGGAAAACTTGATGTATTTTTTTCCCATTCTGTGGGTTGTCTTTTCACTCTGTTGGTGATTTCTTTTGCTGTGCAAAAAGCTTTTTAGTAAGGTGAGATCCCATTTGTTGATTTTGGTAGTATTTCTCTAGTGGTCTGGGTTTTGTTCTCTGCCTCCACCTATGTCTTTAAGATTTGTACCTATTTTCTCTTACAGTAGATTTAGTGTTCTGTTTTAATATTTAGATCCTTGATCCATTTTTTACTTTAGTGCATAGTGATAAGCATGGGTTCAATTTTGTCTTTAGCATGTGGGAAGCCAGTTTTTCCAGCACTATTTATTTATTTATTTAAATATTTTTTTTTTTTTTTTTTTTGAGACAGGGTCTCGCTATGCAGTTCAGGCTGGCCTTGAACTCACTTTGTAGCCCATGCTGGTCTAGGATCCTCTCACCTCAGCCTCCTGAGTGCTGGGATTACAGGCGTGAGCCACCAGCCCCAGCTCCAGCACCACTTATTAAAGAGACTGACTTTCAGTGAACATGTTTGGCCCCTTTGGCAAAGATAAGGTGACTGATTGTGTTTGGAGTTGCATCTTTTCTGTTCCACTGTCTCAATACCATACTGATTTTATCACAGCAGCTTTTTAGTATAATTTCAAGTTAGGAATTGTGATGCCCCTGACTTATCTTTGTTGCCCAGAATTGCTTTTACTATTAGAAGTCTCTTCTGGTTCCAAATTTTAGAAGTATTTTCTCTAGTTTTGTGAGGTATGCTAATGGATTTTGATTTGGATTGTATTAAATCTGTATAACAATACTGGAAGTATGGTCATTTTCACTATGTTCATTCTTCTTATCCATGAGCAAGGGATATCTTTCTATTTTCCGATACCTCTTCAATCTCCTTTTTCATAGTACTGTAATTTTCAGTGTATAGATCTTTTATTTTCTTTGTAAATTGATTCCTAAGTATTTCATTGTTTTCAATCGTATTATAAAGGGGGTGGGTTCCCCATTTTCTCTCTCTGTAAGTTTGTTGCTTGCATACAGGAATGCTATTGATGTTTGAGTGTTGACTTTGTATCTAGCTATACTGCTGAATTTGGTTATTAAATCTAGAAGTTTTTGGTGGAGTTTTTGGAGTCTTCTATGTAGAGTATCATGCACTTGCAAATAATGATAATTTAACTATTTCCTTTCCTATCCATCTTTACTTTTGTTTCTTCCTCATCTAATTCCTCTGGTTAATGTTTCTAGAACAGGATTGAATGCGAGTGGTATTATTGGACATCTTTGTCTTGTTCCTGATTTTTTCAGTTGAAAGCTTTCAATTTGTAAACGTTTAGTTAACAGTTGGTTTGTCATAAATGGTTTTTATCAGATTGAGATGAATACCATCTATTCCAATTTTCTGTAGGATTTTTATCATGAATGAATGTTGGACTTTGTCAGTTTTTCTTCATTTACTGAGATGATCTGTAATTTTTATCTTTGTTCAGTTAATCTGTTGGTTCA